CCCCAAAACCCCAAAACCCCAAAACCCCAAAACCCCACAGCTCAAAATTGAACTTTGGATCATCTAATTTGTCTATTCTTTCACTCTAAAACCTCCAAAATCTTTTCATCTCCATCCAAATTCTCTTTTCTTTCTATCTCTCTTCTTTAATTAGCCAGCTAGCTCATTCTGATTTTTTTCCAAGCTGGTAGAAGTCAGTGAACCAAGAAGCCAAGAATGTGTATTGGGAGAGAAAGGATTTAAGGAAATTAGTGAATAGGGTTTATAATTAATGATAATTTTGAAAGGCAAGGTGGTATTTGGAGAGAAGGTCACTGAGAAGAAGGAACAGAAGGGATGTAATGAGAAGAAGGAAAGAAGAGATGGAAAGGAAGAGCAGAAGGAGGTAAGGGAGCAGGACCGAAAAGAGGGTTAGAATATGTTTAGAGAGATTTTGGGATCTGAAATTTTTGAAAATTTTCATCAAAGATGTTTGTATTTTTATTAGATATCAAAATTTCATGTTTTCTTTAATAAAAATGTTGCTTGCAGCACCTCGACAATAATTTCAAAATTAAGCACTAAAATTATTCATATCTAACCTAAAACACCACCACAACCCATCCCGAGCAACCTTCCACTAAATATCCTTATCTCTACTAAAAAGTCTTCCTCATGTCACAACCACCCCTAAACACCCCATATAGACCCTTCCAATCCTCCCAAGCCTAAACTCATCAAGCCTCCTCCTTAACAAACAGCTATCCTTCCAACACCTCTCAACTTCAAGTAAGCAAAAATCTCCCTCTCTGCATCCCACTTGCATCCTAAAAGACTAGTCTCTTAGGCCAGTCAGCTTCTTCTCAAAAAATTGTACTGTACAAGGTCCTGCTCTTGGTCCTATTTAGAGGACTTGTATATCTTCGTGTGCTGGGTTTTGGAGATCATGCTTGGCCTTTAAGGGAAATTTGGGGGAGCATGGGGTCGATTCGGATCAGGAATATTAAACCAGTTGGAGATTGAAGTTTATGTAGGATTCATTTGGTATGGATTTTGAAGTATTGATGAGTACAGGTTGTGTAGTTTGAATGGGTTGTTTTATAGTTATAGGAGAGGTTGTTGTGCTTGGATTAATGATTGAGGTATACCTAGCTATTATATAAAATTTAAAGCTAATTTTGCACCTCAGGCTCATATGGGTGATATTTAAATTAGATTATTACTGTAAAATCTAACACGACTCAATAGGGTCATTTAATTATCTACAATATCAAATTATTCACAACTTTTAAATTCTCCAAATCCTGTAAACAAAATGGTAGTCCATCTTCTCTCCAATGAAGGATCTTTAAACAACCATCAAAGCTATATCTACCTCTACTAAATTTCAAAGTTTGAGGCTTAAAAATTTTAACACAGTAATTTTCTTATAATATTCCACATGTTTATTAATACAGGAGCGACTTAGTTCAAAGCCTAAACCAATTTCTTCTTTCTCAGATCTCTGGTTTAAAAACCAAATTTATTTACTCCCAAAAATGTTATTAAAATCATCATTTTATCAGTTGGTCTATCACCCTCAGCCTGTAGATTTTGGAGAGTTTTAGCTAGGCTTTTTACTATGATTAGAGGTGATAGAAAATATGGTAAACCTGAAATTACCTCGAGTCCTTATGTTAAATTCTTCGCTAATCAGCCAGGAAGTTATAAGTAGAGAGATTTTAATATATCATATAAGTTTAAGTCAGCTTGAGCTTAATATATTGATAGACAAGGACCGTATAATAATTTCTGACCTTAGAAATTAAATGGGCTATAACAAGAGCATTTGGTCAACAAAATCTTTTACTTTAGAATAAAATATTAATGTTTTTTACATTTAAGAAGATTTTTATAAGGAAATAATGAATTTTTGATATAATTAACTTTCTTCTTTGAAATATTAGAAGATTTTATCGATTTTTGCAAACATTTCAATATTCACAATGAATTTTTTGGGTTTTTATCCTAAAAAATTCTCCTATTATGTTCTGAATTTTTAATATATCCTGACATTGTTATAGTAGAGCAAGAAGAGTGGAAAATTAAGCGGCAAGAATTCGGAAATGAATTCATCCCTTTTGAGGTACATTATCATGAATAATAGTTAAATCCGCAATAATAGTTATTTATTTAATACAACGCGGTGACATCCATAATCAAATCTACAAAGATGACATTTCTATCATCCCTATAAACTCTGAAATCTCCTACCCCTTCACAACCCCACAATCCTCCTATCTCTCAGGCGCCCAAACAAGTCCCCTAACACCCTACCCCAAGGTTCATCTCTTCACTCCCCTCACCCAAATTTTTCCTTAAAAATATCCAAATTTACAACACATGGGTCGACTCCAACTGGTTTAGAATTTTTGGTCAATTTATATATTTTTTCTTGGTCAATTTTTTGGGGTCAGAGAGGACAGTAGAAATGGAGGTGTTGGGGCAAGAGGGACGGTTTGGTGGAGAAGGGGGAGGGTTTGGGTGGAGAAGAGGGAGTGTTGATAGGGAGGTTTAGGGGAATGGGAGTGGTTGAGGTATGTGGTTTTGGGGAGTAAGAGGACTTATTGTTAAACCTTCATGAAAAATGATAGCTAAATAGTTAAAATCAAGCAAATATCTTTCAAACCTCCTAAAAATGATCAATAGTCCCATCCTTAAACTCCCATCTATAAAATTAAGCAAAATAACTTTCATCTCCTACCTCAATTTCCCTTATCATTCCCTCTATTTCTTTTTCATCTACCTTTTTTACCCTAACCCTTCCAAAGCCTCAACTAAAGTTTGAACTATTCATAATTTCTTCCAAAATTTTGGACTAAAATAATTCTTTGGTTTAATAATTCAAAATTATATTTTTCAAAGTTTGTTTGTTGGTGAAGAGGACTTTAAAATTTGACTGGGTCAAATAATAGACCATGAAAGTCCAATTAGGCAGTGACTGCATTTAATCTTCAGGAACAATTATGAAATAGAGAATTAGTAGAGGAGTTGAGAGATGAAGCTTATGGTACATAACTTTTCAAATAGGTCTTAAAGATGGCAGAGATGAAAGACCATTTATGAAGAAAGTGGGAAAGACAAGGGAGAGTTAACCCTGATGGATCTGTGTAGGTGATTTTGGGGGAGGAATTTGGGGGAAAAGGGAGGTTTTGGGTGCGAGGGCTTTTGAGTGGAAAGTCGGTGATTTTTTAAGGTGAGGGATTTTAGGGGGTTATGAGATTGATGGGGTGATAGAGGGTGGAGAGAGTTTTTATGATTTTTTAGGGCTTTTATTTAGGATTTTGGGGGATTATGAAATTGGTAGTCGTACTTCGGGGTGGTTATATGTTTGGCATAGGGAGAAGAAAAAGGGTAGGAAAAGAACAAATATGCTAAAGTTTACTAATTTATATGAACTTATTCATGAGCATGTTATTCCTCGGTGGAAGTAAATATTTATCAAAGAAGTCTATTAAAACTAATAAAAACAGCGATGAACTACCTAGGAGCGATATTTTATGGAAAAAAATAATAAGAGATGCAAGAGAATTTTATAGGATACTCTTCAGGATGAGATTTCATTACCTTGATCATAAAGATGAAAAATCCATTGAGAAATGCATCAGTATATTTTTCGAAGAGCTTGGAATTCCTATAGAGCCTCACTATTTCGAAGATCCCTCATTATACATTTTCTTACATCAGACTAAAAGAAAGACTGAGAGTCGTCTCTTCTCTGACTCAGACAACGAAGTTTGGTTGTCTCCATTCAAAGTGATCGAAAAATTCAACAGCCACTATAAAAAGTTCTTCCTGAGCGACAAACTCTGCTCCAGACTTCTCTATTTCGTCTACATAAACTACATCACAGACTACACCAAGCTCACCAACCTAAAATACCAGACAACTCTAGTCACAACGATCTGCTTGGTCCTCAGATGCTACACTCGGATGTCCAAGTTCAGCCAGCTCTCTCGAGTAAACTTAATCACAATCTAAAGTTTGCCCTTCTAAATCTCAGAACCTCAAGACGACTTGTTCCGTGTAGCTTGACTGCAAGGAACAAGGTTTAGTGCTGGTGGGAGGGAAAATGGATTTTTGGAAAATTTGTGCGTAAAAATTTTAATAAATTGGGTAAAGATAGAGGAGGTTTATGTTGGTTTTTGGCTTGTAGAAGAAGTATCAGGGGTTTTAAACATGAGTGGATGGTAAATAAGAGTTAGTTAATTTAATTTATTGGGAATAATAGCACATTAGAAGCCATATTTATAGTTGTGAGTCAATTTCAATCCAAAGATGTCAACTTGGGGTTTTGGGGTTTTGGGGTTTTGGGGGTTTGGGG